GGGGGGATGGTCACGCCGCAATCCCTTCTCCTCCATTCTCCTCTCGGGATCATGGGCACGCACGCACATGCGCCCGGCGTGAGTTTTAAGCCACCGGGTCCGGGACGCGAACCGCGGTCGACTACGTGGGAGTCCAGCGACATAGCCATTACGCTAACTGCTGGTTCCCCGTTATTGTATTCTTGATGCTGGTAAATGGCACCACCGTTCTGAGGGTTGCTCAAGCCAGAAACAGGACACTGGCCATCATTCTTCTGTTTCCTTTCTTCAGTCAACCAGTCTTCAAGTCCTACCATTTCTTCTTCCGTTCACCTCGACTGCCCTAGTTTTTACTATCATCTACAGCCTCCCAACAAGTCTCTTCCTTCAGTTTCATTTCCTTCTAGTTCATTCCTCACTTCGAAGACAGACTCAGAACACATGGCCAGTGCTGTCTTTTCCCTGTCTGGAATTCCATCCTACCCCCTTCACAGAACTCGCAGTTCCCTCCCACGGGTTGGCTGCTCCAGCGTCCCCTCGTCTAGCATGCTGTACGTCTAGCCATGCTGAACTTCTCTCAGGCCCCAGAAAGTGCTACCCTTTGTTGTCTTTGGCCCATGGAACAGGGTGTCATTCTTGCTCTCTGGGTGCTAATCTCAATTTAGATATTCTTTTCTTCTGTAAGTCCTTTTTGTCTGCATTTTCGCTTCTGTTTCGTTTTAAACAGCAGGAAAGTACCTTCTACTCCTTTTGCAATACATTTGTAACCTGCAGTTGTAACCCTTGATTTGCTTTTCTGTCTTGCCCCAATACATCTAGCTCTGTGGAGGCAAGAGTTAAGTCTGTTTTGTTCATTGTTGATGTTCCCTCAGATTCGTTGGCCTGATTTCAAATTCCAGGTAATGGAATCATAAAGTATGCATTTTGTATGTGTGTGTGTGGCTTCTTTTACTAAACATCATGAAAAGTGTTCTTTTTCATTGCTATACTTATTACATTGTACAAACATGTTATACTTCATTCATTCTATTGTCAAAGGACATTTCACTTGCTTTACATTTAGAGTATTATGAATATTCTTGGATACTGGTTTTGGTAGCAATAAGCACTCATTTCTGTTGTTTTGGGATACTTGTCTATTTTTTGCTGGGGAGAAGGTACATGTAAGCTCTGAGGCTAGATTATAAGAGACACCTCTACTTCTGGACTGTTCACTCTAGGAGATCCGGTCACTATGTTGTAAGATCTTCAGAAAGCCTCGTGGGGAAGTCCATTTGGTGAGAGACTGAGGCCTTCTACCCTATAACCATGTGAGTGAACCATTTTGGAAGCAGATCCTCCAGATCTGGTCAAGCTTTCAGATGGCTGTATCCCTGGATGATGGCTTGACTGCCACCTTGTGATTTATCCTGAGCCAGAACCACCCCCATAATCAGCTCCCAGATTCTTGACTCTCAGAAACAGCGTGAGATAATAAATTTATTTTTTCAAGTTAGTCAGTTTAATTAGTTATACAGAAATTGGTAACCAATGCAGACTCCTCACAGGAACTTGGAAGAGATCCCTGCAAGTGAGAGGAGGCCCTGACATTTAAGCGTTATGATAAATTGACCTCTGCCTGTGTTAATGGCCAGGTGTATTAGATTATTGTAGCAGAAATAGCTCTTTTCCATCACAACTTGTCCTATCTTCCACCAAGCTATAACTAGGCCATGCCTGTCCAGCCATGGGCCACGTTGCCCAGTCGTCTGCAACTGTTTCATGTGGGTAAGAACTTTCTAATAAAAGGTGAACAAGATATGTCCCATTCTGCACCGTGTTTTCAAGAGACTGGGCCTTCTGCTCCTCCTCGCCTTCTCACAGGCCATGATGGTGATAAACAGAGTGATCTTGGAAGCCACATATTGAAGATAACAGAAACTTGGTCTGGCCAAGTCTTTGAATGACTTCACAGATCAGAGATTCGATTCTTCCAGTCTGGGACACCTGCCCTGGACCATTTTGTGAGAGAAAAATAAGTTTCTAGTATGTTTGAATAGTTATTGTTTAAAGTCTGTGTATTAAGATAGGCTAGCCAGGATTAGCAGCTGTGGTGTGGCAGTAACACAACTGTGCCCACATGGGAAAGGTCCTAAGTTCAAGTCCTGAAGCCTCCCTGAGTCTGCCAGGCACCCATGCCCATAATCTAGGCTGGACCAGACTGGGGGTGGATTGTGGTGTGCGGAACTTGTTGGGAGTTCCTCTCTCTGTCTCTCTCTCTCTTGCGCTCTATTTCATGAAAGAACAAAGAAAACAAGAAAATAAATAAACTTTTTAAAATAGGCTGATCACAGTTATGTTCTTCAAAATTTAGGTACTTAATCTATTCCCCAGAAGCTAGTTCTAATTTATTTTTTCATTTATTTGTTAATTTATAAAGATTTTTGGGGGGCTCTTGCCCTAAAGTGTGTCCACTCACCCGAGAGAGACAGAGAGAGGAAAAATGAGAAATCACCCCCCCCCCAGTGAGAATGGTCATGCTGCAATTCCTTCTCTGTCCTCTTCCTGGGATTCTCAGCACACATGCATGCACGTATACCTGGCATGAGTTTTTGAGCTGTTTGGTCCAGGACTCAAACCATGATAGGCCACGTGAGAGTCCAGCACCTTAACTACCACACCACGTGCTGGCCCCTAAATTACTAACTTTTTATCGTGTAAATTTGTAAACATACAGAAGCAGAGGAAATTGTATAACAAAGACTCGTGTACCTATTAATCAGTTCCAGAATTGATGCTATGGACCATTCTATGTCCTATGAAAATATGTCATTTCCTACATATACAAGGCCATTTCTATTTCATTGTTACCCTTTTCCCCCTCTGTTCCTTTCTGGATTATTTTAAAGGAAATCTCAGGATCTGAAACATTATATAATTTCTTATGAGAAATTTTAAATGTGTAAGGATCTACTTTTCCTAAAATCCAGTGCTTTTTGGTGACCTGGGTGCTTTTTGTGTCACTGTGGGACATCAAATACCCGTTGCTTGACAACACATGATGAGACAGTGAGAGCGGCAAGGTGAAGCTCGCCTGTTGGTGTGAGCGATCTCAACAGTATTTTAGAATCTACACTCACCTCATTCAAACTGGAAGCTTGAGCTTCTACAGGGACCCAGTGGTGGTGGGCAGGCTGAGGTTGAAGTGACCAGCATGAAAGGCCATGTGGAATGGTGGGTATGGTTCAGAACCGAAGTCAGATAAACCTAGGTCATCTGGTGGCATGCCTTCAACCACTAATTACTCAAATCTTCCCATTGCCTATCTGCCTGTCTGGGTGACTATAATAAAACCAGCTAGGATTTTTTAAATTATAAACTTTATGTGACTATCAGTTTCTGTCATGGAAGTAAATGTAAGTTTTTAATTCTTATTTCCTCTAGAGTAACATTTATAGTCACTTAAGCTACAGGAATCTATTATAATCTGTGTTAACAGTGGGAGTCATTATTTTCTCCAGGTAGTTTTTGGATATGAATCAACACCACCATCTGTGAAAGGAAAAAGGACACCGCAATTTGTATATTCCCAAACATCTTTTATCTGAGAAAATTGGACAGCACCATAGTGAGTTCCTGGAGGGGAAAGGGCAAATAAAATGTTATCTGAATTTTTCCCTGAATTTTTTTCAGCTTCTCCCCATTCACGGATGGCCGGATTTTTACCCTGACAGTTCTGGGTGAAATCTGGCTCAAGGAGAGGAAGCAGACACCACATTTCTAGATTTTAGTGTTTTCCCTTCACATAGAGAAGCGTCTTTTTCTGGATTACCGAGCTCAATGCCAACTGGGTCATGGCATTGGGCAAGGTTGGGGGTGACAGGGAAAGGGGCAAGGCAGGCTGTTTGCTCAGTGCCTGCTCCACAGCGCTGAGCTCCTGCTGTCTTCCTTCACCCTCACTCTAGTCTCTGATTTTCCCTCTCGGTCCTTTGTACCTATTTTCTTGGCTCATTTATGACATTTTAGTAACACCGTCATGGAACTATTTTTACAAAGGAAGTGTACAATAATTAATGTGAAAAATAAGTAATTTTTTTTCTTCTACTGAATCTGCATGAAATATTTCTCCTTCCTGGTTTCTGTATTTAATCACATTCTAAGTACTGATTGCTAAATCCTCTTGCTTTTTAACCTGTTAGATTAAAATGTAATTAAGATTAATTTAGATTAAAATGGAGAGTTTTCATATACCCTTAGGCCCCAACAGGTGTGATCTTTAAAAATTTCTCCAAATTCTATTCCCTGCACAAATTAAGAACCATTGCTTTTTTTTCTTTCTTTCCTTTTTGGATTTCGAGATCATAGGGGATATTTGATCATTTCAAATCATGACACATTATGCAAGGCTCATTCAGCATCCCTTTCTCTTAATACCATTTTATGATATTGCCACTCCCATTACCACTGCCCTCAAGAACCATGGTTCTCATGTATTGGCTGAGTATCTTCTCTTTGTACGTGTTCTTGTAAAATGTGTGTTGTTCTTCTCGGTGCATGGATTTTTGTACGTGTTCTTGTAAAATGTGTGTTGTTCTTCTCGGTGCATGGATTTTTGTGCGTGTTCTTGTAAAATGTGTGTTGTTCTTACCAGTGCATGGATTTACCGATTATGAGAATCAAATTGGGTTATGCAGCCCCCAGTTTGTTACACAGCCTTCTTTTTTCTAACCTAGAAAAATTAAGATTTTTTTAAAGAATTATTTTTTATATTTAAAATTTATTATTATTATTGTAATAGTATTTAATTTGCTATAGGGCATGTATTCTCACCAGAGAGAGACGGAGAGAGATTGAGAGAGAGGGAAAGTGAGAAAGCAAACCTCCAGGTCTGGGAGTGGCCATGAGGGAGTCCAGTGCCTTAACCACCACGCCACCTGCTCGCCCCCAAAAGTAATAGCTTTTATAGTAGAGCATTTGAGGTTCACAGAAAAATTGAGTGGAAAGTATGGAAAGGTCCTGTATACATCTTCCCCCCATTTTTTTTTTAAGAGAGAAATCTTTTGCTATAGGGCATGTGTGCTCACCAGAGAGACAGAGAGAAAGCAAGAAATCACCCCTCCACCCAGGGGGAGATCGCCATGCTACAATCCCTTCTCTTCCATTCTCCTCTCAGGATTCCAGGCATGCACAACACACATGCTTGGCATGAGTTTTAAGCCACCGGATCCGAACTCAAACCATGGTCAACTATGTGGGAATCCAACGATATAACCATTATGTCATCTGCTGGTCCATCCCCCAATTTTTCCTACTCTTAACATTTTGCATTAATGTGGTAACTTTGTTGTATGGACAAAAATATATGAATCTGTATTTATATATTATTATTAACTAAAGTCTGTAGTTTACACTAGAGTTCGCTGTGTTGTTCACCTCTACAGGTTTTGACAAATGTTTACTGTATCTACCCTAGAATATCATATGAAATAGTTTTACTGCCCTAAAAAGCTCCTGTGGGACCAGCAGATGGTGCAGCTGTTATACTACTGGATTCCCACATGGTGCACTGAAGTTAAAGTCTTGGACCTGGTAGCTTGAAAATCACACCAGGCATATGTGCATGTATACTCAAGATCCTGAGAGGAAAATGGAGAAGGGATTGCAGCATGACCAGCCTCCCTGGGGCTGGAGGGGGGGTGATTTCTAACTTTCCCTCTTATTGTCTCTGTCTCTCTCCAGCAAGTGCATGCACCCTAAGGCAACAACTTCTCAAAAAAAAAAAAATAGCACTGGATTTCCACATGGCCAACCAGGGCTTGAGTCCTGGACCCAGTAGCTTGAGTTCCAGACCCAGTGGCTTGAAAATCATGCCAGGCACATGTATGTGCAGTGCCCAAAATCCCGAGAGGAGAATGGAAGAGAAGGGATTGTGTCATAGCCATTCTCCTGGGAGGGCGTTATTTCTCAATTTCCCTCTCTCTGTCTCTCTCTGATGAGTGCATACACCCTATGGGGGTAAAAAAATCCCTTGCACTGCTCTTATACATCTCTCCTCTCCTCCCAAACCCTTGGCAACCACTGATCATTTCAATATTTTCGTAGTTTTGCCTTTTTCAGAATGTCATAGGGTTGGAATCACATGGTATATAACCTTTTTAGATTTGTTTTTTTTATTCGGTAATATGTATTTTAGGTTCCTCTATGTTTTTTCTTTCGTTTTATAAAGGTTATATATTTCTTTCTTCCACAAAACAGAGAAACAGAGAGAGAGAGAGAACAAGAAACAGACATTCTCAATAGAATACTCACACCAGATCCACGAGCAGCCTTAGCCTACAGGATCATGAGACACGTGTGCACTCAGCATGGGCAGAGAGACCTTGAGGTGCGAACTCTAGATATTCTCAGATGGCTTTAGCATGATGGAGCATTTGGATGAGCACTGCTCCACCTTGGCTTGCTCTCCAAGTAATTTTGTATCTTTATAGCTCATTTCTTTTTATGTTGGGTAATAGTCCATTGTCTGGATGGACCACAGTTTGTTTACCCAGTCACTTATCGAAGGATATCTTGGTTTCTTCCAAGTTTTGGCAGTTATAAATAAAGCTACCATCAGCATTCTCATGCAGACTTTTGCATGAACATGTTTTCAACTCATTTGGGTAAATACCAAGGAGGGCCATTGCTGGGTCATATGGCAAGAGTGTGTTTAGCTTTGTAAGAAATGGCCAGTCTATTTTTCAAAGTGGCTGTACCATTTTACGTTCCCACCAACAGTGAATGAGAGTTTCTGTTGCTTCACATCCTCTCTAGCATTTAGTGTTGTTGGTCTTTAGATTGTGGCTAATTCTTATTTTTATTTTTTTTGTAATTTGCAACAGGGTGTGTGTATTTGACAGAGAGAATGAAAAATCCCCCCCCCCTGCCAATGAGGGACAGTCATTCCACAATTCTCTCTACTCTCTTTCTCCATCTTTTGGGATTTTGGGCTCACACACACACACATACCTGGGGTGTTTTTCAAGCCACTGGGTCCAGAACTCGAACTGCACCATCAGGCCATGTAGGATCCAGTCACCTTACCCACCACACCGCCAGCTGGTCTGGATTTTAGCCATTCTAATAGGTACATAGTGGTATCTTGTTTTAATTTGCATTTCTCTAATAACATAGGACACTGAGCATCCTTTCATATGCTTATTTGCCATCTGTATATTTTCTTTGGAGAAATGTCTGTTCAGATCTTTTGTCATTTTTTCAATTGAGTGCTTGTTTTCTTAATGTTGATTTTGAGTCCTTTGTATAATTTACATACAAGTTCTTTATCAGATATGCGTTTTGCAAATATTTTCTCCCAGTCTGTGGCTTGTTCTTTTTTTTTTTTTTAATTCTCTTAATGGTGTCTTTCACAGAGCAGAAATGTTTGTATTTGAATGAAGCCTTACCTTTCGATATTTTCTTTCATGAATTGTATTTTTGATGGTATATCTAAAAGTCACTGTGAACCCAAAATTGCATAGATTTTCTTCCACATTATTTCATAACAATTTTATAGTTTTGCATTTTACATTTGGACCTATGATCTATTTAATTTTCAGCTTTTTTTTTTTTTTTTGGAGAGGTTTTTCGCTATAGGGCGCGTGCGCTCGCCAGACAGACAGAGAGAGACATAGAGACAGAAAGCGAGAAATCACCCCCCAGGGGGAATGGTCACGCCGCAATCCCTTCTCCTCCATTCTCCTCTCAGGATCTTGGGCACGTACGCACACGCACCCGGCGTGAGTTTTAAGCCACCAGGTCCGGGACTCGAACCGCGGTCGACTACATGGGAGTCCAGTGACATAGCCATTACGCTAACTGCTGGTTCCCAATTTTCAACTTTTTCATGAGATTTTATGGTATTATGCTTTTAAGATCCATCCATTTTCCCATGTGTACATTTCATCTGTGGTTTAATTACTCTATGTCTATCTCTTTGATATGCATCTGCGAGTTTACCTGTCTGCTTTCTGTGTGACAGAATCCTAGCTTGCCCCCAATGTCTCGTCACCACAAATAATGCCACAATAAATATCCTGGTACCTGTTCCCTAATGGACCTATATAAAAATTCTTTAGATCCATAATCAAGTTTGGACTAACTGGGCCATGGAATATACTCAGTTGAACTAAGGAGGGACAGGTTGCGCTCCAGCATGGTTGCACCATTCTGCACTCCTGCCTATAGCTTCACATTCCTCCTGTATTAGAAAGCATTATCTTGCTTCCTGATTTTTGCCAGTCTAATAGTTGTAAAATACCCCATGGTTATTTAAATTTGTATTTCTATAATGACCATTGATTTGTTACAGTTTGAGTTCTGATACGGGCAATTTTAACATTGTAAACATGCATTGATTCTGATAATTACTAAATTAATTTCCCTTTCAGAAGTACAGAACTCACTAGGGACCAGCGGGTTGTGTGGAGGCTAAGGCGCTGGACACTCCCACATGGCCAACCACAGTTCAAGTCCTAGACCTGGTGGCTTTCTTTGTCTATCTCTTTCTACTCTGTGTGTGTGTCTCTCTCTGGTCAAATTAAAAATAAATTAATAAGTAAATAAAGTTAAATAAATAATTTTAAAAACTGTAAAAGAAGCATAGAACTCACTCTAGGGTTGGGCCTGTAATCTAGTGGTTAGAGAAGCCAGATCCCACATGGCCAACTGTGCTTTGATACCCAGCCACGACAGCTTGAAAAATATGCCCAACATGTGTGTATGTATGCCAAAAATACTGACAAGATGAAGAAATGGAAGACAACGGATTGTAGCGTGACCATGCTTCATTGGGGGGTGCTTTACAATCCCCCTCCTCTGTCTTATTTGCTCTCTCTCACTCTGTCCACACAAACCCTCTGGCAGTTAAAAAAAATCACTCTATTATTACAAAAGCCTCTAGATGATATAACATAAAATTGAAATAACCTGAATAGTCTTTTCTTGTTTAAAAAGTAAAATGATGAAAAATAAATACCTCGGATTTACTCTATGAATAAATATAGAAAGAAGAGGGACCAGCAGGTGGCATGGTGGTTAAGGCACTGGACACTCCCACATGGCCAACTGCAGTTCAAGTCCTGGACCTGGTGGCTTGCTCTTTCACTTTCTCTCTCTCTCTCTGTGTCTCTCTCTGATCAAATTAAAAATAAATGAATGAGGGAACCAGCAGTTAGTGTGATGGCTATGTCGCTGGACTCCCACGTAGTCGACTGCCGTTCGCATCCAGGACCCGGTGGCTTAAAACTCACGCCGGGTGCGTGTGCGTGCATGCCCAAGATCCTGAGAGGAGAATGGAGGAGAAGGGATTGAGGCATGACCATCCCCCATGGGGGGTGATTTCTCTCGCTTTCTGTCTCT